ATCAAAATCAAACTTTGTTTAGCTTTATTTTTATTAATATCCTTCTAAAACACAACATGAAGACTTTGGTGGTGAACAGCAGAAAATAAAGTTACAAAATGATGTTTTCATGAAGAAGAAGAAACTCGAGCTCATTTATTTTAGTGAAAGATTGGAAACAAATGTGTTTTTCAGTGTGACAGTCCTGATCATAATTAATGTGATTTATATATATTTTAAGATAAATGCCATGAAACAGAGAGCATCCCTCATATCAACTAAATCCGACTCTCTGAAACTTTACGGTGAACATTAAAACATGCTGAGTCATCAGTGAAGGAACGTGACAGTAATTATGACGTTCAGTCGTTTAAGCAGCGCTGACTCAGACTCTTGTTCTCTGGGACTTATAGAAATGTGTTTGTTAATTTTCTTTACTCGTTCATATTATTCTGGAGGGAAAATGTGTTTAATGATAAGAGATAACTGAAGTTCACTCACGTGTTTTTTAAAGTTACATATCTGTACATTAAATGTAAGCTGGGCTCCATGAAAACAAAATGATAAATTAATTCTTCAATAATTAATAATTAATTTCTATTATGAATCGTTTTAACATTGCAAACATAAACATGTTTACTTTCACATGTTTTGTCTCGTTGCTGATGGACATAAAAATGAATCTTAAAACTATGATCCCTGTTTTCATTTCCTTACAGTACCCGACGGTTCCCCTACAGTGACTGTAACTGTGCCGGAGAATAATGTGATTAAAGTAGAGTGTAAGCATGAAGGCAGGATTAGAGGACCAGACAAATATAAAAGATTCATAGCACGTCTTCATCCTGGTGGTGAAAACAAACCACAGAATGAAACAGTTTGTAAGTTTGAATTCAAGGATCTGAGCTACTCTACAGCATACAGAGTGGAGGTTTGTATCATCCTACTTTTAAGTATATGATTATTTTATGGCTGCTTTATTTTAATGGTGTCATTTCTTATGAATGAACATCTGAAACATCTGTATTTATAGGTGACTGTTTTCAACGGATACTTTGAAAGCCAACCGGGCAGAGGAACAGCTGATACTCGCTGTAAGTATGGATTCAATGACACAGTTTGTTGGATAAATCAGTTTACATATTTACAAATTCAATTTACACGTTGTACAGCCAAGTTTTTTAAAAGTACACCTTCTCTAAGATTTTATGACATAATAAAGATCATCTTTACATTAACCTAGGTAAGATGAAAAACAACACCTGACATTTACATCATATCTGTATTCACTTAATACAAGTTAAGCCAAAACTCAGAAGCAGTGTGTACAAAACTAAGTACAGCCTTATTGCTTCCATAGGAATTCAGTAACAGCCACGTGCTGCTGATCAAATGCACTTCATTAACTGAGGTACAAGCAAATGTTAACACTTCTGGAGCATTTAGGTTTGCATTAACACCGTGCCAAGGAGGATTTCTAAACCATTTGGAAAGTCTATCATTCTGCAATAAGTGAGATTATTCACAAAGAAAACACTCAGGACAGTTACCAACTGTCCCAGGAGTGGACGTCCCAGAAAATTCACCTCAGTGTCAGACTGTGCAGTGTTCATGGAAACTACAACAACCCAAGTGCTGCATCTCAGACTCTACAGGTCTTAGATAGCATGTTAAATGCTAAAAAAAAAAAAAAAGAAGAAGAAGAAGAAGAAAAAAGTTAATGAAAATGTACAATGAGCATAATTAAAAATAATGAAAAGTATGGCTAGTTTGGAAGTGCTGCAATCAGAGACTGTGCTGCTATCCTCTTCTAAAAAGAAGTCAACCATTAACTCCTCTGTACCAAAATGTACTCAAAACACAATTTTGAGGCCATGTGAAAGTGGTTTTAAAGGTAAAGAATCAAGGTGTTCAAAATGACCCATTCCAGAGTCCAGACCTCAATATGATTAAAATGCTGTCGCAAGACCTTTAGAGAGCTGTGCAGAAGTAAAAGCCCATAAAGTGCAATAAACTGAAGCAGTGTTGTAAAGACGAGTGGACCAAAATTCCTCCACAATGATATGAGAGACTTATAACGTCTACAAGAGAAGAATTATTTCAAGTTATTGTGGTGCCTTTAAGAAGTGGTTCTTAAAGGCACTGAATCATGAGATGTATTTAATTTTTCACACACTGCTGAGGGGTAGATTATTGTTTATTATGTCCTGATGTCAAACCTTAGAAATGACATAAGGTGTACTTTGTTTTTACCGTATGTTTTACATACATGCACTCACTCGTCCCATTCTTTTACAGATAATGACAAAGCTGTCATTGGGTTTCTGGTCTTCCTCATCATCCTCACGTCTGTGGCTCTACTTTTTGTCATCTACAAGATCTACATTTTGAAACGCAGACAGTCCCAGTAAGAAAACTTCTGTGCAGATTCCACAGCATGTCTTTATCCTGTCTTCCTTCTCTCACCCCAACCAATCACAGCAGATGGCCCCGCCCCTCCCTGAGCCTGGTTCTGCTGGAGGTTTCTTCCTGTTAAAAGGGAGTTTTTCCTTCCCACTGTCGCCAAAGTGCTGCTCATAGGGGTCATATAACTGTTGGGTTTTTCTCTGTGTGTATCATTGTAGGATCTACCTTACGATATAAAGCACCTCAAGGTTGTTGTTATTTGGGGCTGTATAAATAAAACTGAATTGAATATGTCGTTTCCTTTGTTATTTTAACAGTCGAGCTGCGCTCGCTTTTTTAGGATTTGTTCATTTTTCACAAATAAACCAGCATTTTTTCCTGTTAATAAGATTTTTGCACTGCTTCTGTTGAATTTAAAAACCTTCCTATGCTCTTTTCTTCACAGTGACCTGGGAGAAAGCATGATGCTTATTTCAACAACAAGTGAGTTTTATTTAATAGTAGAGTTTCGGTTCCTGGCATCACTTATTTTCATATGTTTTTGTACTGTTTTTACTAAAACCTTTAGGGTTTAGTAAAAACAGGATGACAGGAACACGATCAAGTAAACTATGTTCCTCTTTTCAAAATTGAATTGACTGTGAAGTCATGCTGGTTCTCATCTATGCTCATTGGAACTGCTGTAAAAGCAGCTGTAGAGCACATAAAAACATCCTGTGACACTATCAAATCTGAAGAATTCAGACCCTTTTGGGAAAAGTGTAAAATGTACTAATATTTAAAGTTCAAAGTTAAATTTCATCACATTATGAGTAAATATGATGACTGTGGTATTTACTCATTTCTTTGAAAATGAAATGAATGCAGTGAAATTGTGCTTGAAAATCACAATAGGATTTTTCTTTAAACTCCTTTAAGCAAGAAGTGAAACTCTTGAGATCAAGAATCTCATTTACATAAGTGTCCTATGGCCGGTCTGAGGTAGGCGGAGTTAACCTGCCTTTTAACCTCATATATGTATTTTTATGTTATCTAACAGCAGATCACTTTGTTGAATTCGGGTGACTGAAAGAGTTATATAAAAACTATGCATACAAATTATGATGTATGTTAACAAATACTGTAAGATTCTGTTTTTTTTACGAGCTCATTTTTTTGCTGACTGCTTTTTGTAGATGATGAAGAAAACCTGTTGCTTGTTGAGCCGATCGCAGCAGAGGTCCTGCTGGAAACCTACAAGAGGAAGCTCGCTGATGAGGGGAGACTTTTCCTGGCTGAGTTTCAGGTAAGTGCACTCTGTGGTCTTTGGTAGGGGGTATTTCTATTTCTGTTATTTATTTTCAGGAATGGGTGATTAACCATAGTATGTCAGAGGAGCAGACAATGGAAAACAAAAGGCCAAAACTTGATCTGAATACATGTTAGACGGTTGGAGTCCAAAGTGTATGTTTTTTAAAGAACATTGCTTTAATTTACTTGCAGAGCATCCCAAGAATTTTCTCAAGATACACGGTGAAAGAGGCCAAGAAGTCCTGCAATTCTATCAAGAACCGCTACGTGGACATTCTGCCCTGTGAGCTGATCAATGTTATTAAAATCACTGAGAGTCACTGTGAAGACTGTCATCATTTATTTTATTTTATTTTTTGTCTTGAACTAGATGATTATAACCGTGTCCAGCTAACCACAGGAAATGGAGAGCCAGGATGCGACTACATCAACGCCAGCTTCGTTGACGTATGTAAAAATGTTCAGCTTGTTCAACGTAAAGTTCATGACATCTGTTCGATAAAACAGTCAAACATCACTCCTGTTCTTCCTGCAGGGATTCAAAGAGTCTAAAAAGTACATCGCAGCTCAAGGTAAAGTCACGCTGCCGTCCTTCACACAGCTGCACTGAATGACTGTGATCTATGATGCTTATCTACGGTGTTCTCGCTGCAGGACCAAAGGAAGAAACTATAAATGACTTCTGGAGGATGATCTGGGAACAGCAGTCCTCAATTATCGTCATGGTAACACGATGTGAGGAGGGAAACCGGGTAAGATCGTGTTTAAAGTTTTTAAAATGAGTCACAGAGAAATATCCTTTCTTTGAGAAGCTTCTTATCTGATTTGCTTAAATCTTAGACCTTCGTATTGTTTGCTCCGTTCTCCTTCCTCACTGAGCGACAGTCAGCCTCTCTCCTCTCACATCGTTTCACAGGTTAAATGTGCTCAGTACTGGCCGTCTCCTGACCGAGAGACTGAGCTTTATGAGGAGTTTATTGTGAAGCTGAACTCAGAGGACCACTACCCAGATTACACCATCCGCCGTCTCAGCCTGACAAACGTAAGCCTCCGTCACATGTTGAACCGACAAAACTGTAAAAGTGTTAAATGTCTGTAATCATATCTGTGTAGAAGTGTTGCTCAGCATGCACATTTATCTCAATAACTGCACCTGCAGAAGAGAGAGAAGAACTCAGAGAGGGAGGTGACCCACATCCAGTTCATGAGTTGGCCCGACCACGGAGTCCCTGGAGAGCCACACCTCCTCCTGAAACTGAGGCGGCGCGTCAACGCCTTCAAGAATTTCTTCAGTGGGCCGATCGTTGTTCACTGCAGGTATGAAGAGGTCACACTCTACGCTCGGCTCAGGTTAACAAGTTTGTTTCACTTTGTTCCATCAGCCATGTCAGTACATCTGTAGGCTGATATTAGGCAGAGTCTGACTGGATGGACGTCTATTTGTAGCCACACCTACTTCTTCAGATCACCGCCTCTTAGTTTAATTCAGATTAAAACACGAGCTGTTAATTGAGATCTAAAGTGCGTCATTGTACATCAGGTTAAATAAGACAACGGCACTCATAGGTGATACTTCTTTCTCGTGCAGCGCGGGGGTCGGCAGGACAGGAACCTACATTGGCATCGATGCCATGATGGAAGGTCTGGAGTCAGAGGGCAGAGTGGACATCTACGGTTACGTGGTCAGACTCCGCAGACAGAGATGCCTCATGGTCCAAGTCGAGGTAAAGTGTGTGTGTGTGTGTGTGTGTGTGTGTGTGTGTGTGTGTGTGTTTAACGATTAGTTAAATCAGCTAAACTTAAATATGTACAGTTGTATATATTATGTATATTTTTTAATATGTTTTTAAAAATGTTATGTTTATAAAAAGTTGTATTTTAAACATGTACACCGTACTCTTTCTGCCATTTCCTGTCTTCCTCAGTGTTATTATCTCCTGTCTTGTTCCGGTTTTGCTTCCTGTTTTTTTTTGTTTCTCCTCTTTGTGTTTGGCCCCGCCCTCTTTTTCTTCACCTACATCTGCAGCTCTGTGTCAGTCAGCCCCTGTGTGTACATGTGGTCCTGTTCTTTAATCTGCATGTTCGTATTATAGACCCATTCACCTTTATATTTCACCTACTGTGTAAAGAAATGTGAGGAACACCACGTGTTAGATGTACATACACTGACTACACTGCACATAAACAAAGCTTCATTTTTTAAAATCCTGTATTAAATAAATGAGGGTAAATGAGATATAAACGCTGCGGCACATTCGAGGTTTGTCTCTCGTGCATTAACATGAGTGCATTTGTGTGCACACAGGCCCAGTACATCCTGATTCACCAGGCCCTGCTGGAGCACAACCAGTTTGGAGAGACAGAGATCAGCCTGTCTGAGCTGCACAGCACAATGAACACGCTCAAAGAGAAAAACTTGGACGACGAGCCCACGCTCATGGAGGAGGAGTTTGAGGTACGCCGTATCTTATCACTTTTATAGCTGTAAACTACAGAAGAGCAGTGTGAGGGACCGAAAGTGCAGCTTTGATCGTGTTTAAGTCGCTGAGTGAGTCACAGAGAAATCACGTAAAGAGTGTCTGACAGAATAATGTAAATGACCCTAAAACATTGATGTAGCACAAACGTCTGAAATCTAAAAATATCATCAAGTGTGCCTGTCGTCCTCTTCTCCATCACATCCTGCACGATGGATTGGATGGAAGCAAAGTTTTAATAGACAAAATGATCTTGCAGAGACTCCCCACCTTTAAAAACTGGAGGACGCTCAACACAGGACTGACCGAAGAAAACAAGAAGAAGAATCGTTCTTCGTCGGTCATCCCCTGTGAGTTTACTTTGCATGCACGCGTGTGCTCGCATGTAAGATTACATCTGCTCAGTTCCACTTCTTTCATATCAAACCTGCAGATGACTTCAACCGCGTGCTCCTGAAGCTGGATGAAGGACGAAGTCAGGACAGTGACCCTGACGAAGACGATGAGGAGGAAGATTCTTCAGATGAAGAGGATGAAGACTCCACTCAATACATCAACGCCTCGCACATCACGGTAACGTTCAGCCTATTTATGAACCCGTTTCTATGTAAACTACTAAAAATACCAGCCGATGTCAAACTGTGACAAACTGCTTCCTGCCACCTTCTTTCCTGTTGCACCAGATAACGAAATGTCTCATCTTCTATGTTTGGACTCGATGTGTTTGTCTCCCACACAGGGATACTGGGGCTGCCGTGTCTTCATAGTGGCGCAGACCCCACTGGCAGACACCACGGGGGACTTCTGGTCGATGATTTACCAGAAGAAAGTTTATACTGTCGTCATGCTTTCAGACAGCAGTGAAGGAGACACGGTACATACAATATAACATACTTATAGTGACACACATTAAATGTACATGTGGTAAATATGCTTGTTTTCTCCTGCTCAACAGGACTGTATTTACTGGGACAAAGAGAAGAAGAGCTTTGGGGAGATTGAGGTGGAGGTGACGAGCACAGACAACTCGCCAAATTTCATCAGACGCACCATGCAGATCCGCCACGTCAAGGTAACACAGCCGCCACCTACTCTGCCTCTGTAAGCGAGCCTCGCCCACTGATGAGACCGGACATTTGTAAGCCAGCTGTGCTCTTCTCGTCCTCTTCTATCCACAGAGGAAAGACAGACGGGAGATAAACCATTTCCAGTTCCTGAAGTGGACGAGCAAAGAGGAGGTGCCGGAGAAACCTCAAGACCTCACAGACATGATCAAGGACATCAAGCAAAACTGCGGCACCAGCAGATCACAGAGGAACAACCCCATAGTGGTCCACTGCGAGTAAGAACACACGGGGAACAGTTCAGTGACGAGATGAGAACGGGGCAGCACGCAGCGAGGACGAGTCATCGTTCTCAGCGTTCAGATCAGTAAAATGTGTCGCAACAGCCGACTTCTCCATCTCGCTGGGTTTCAGGGCGGACACTAGTGTCCCTTTGATCAGTGTTTTTAAATAAAGAGCTCGGTAAAATCTAAGCAGCAGGGTGTCTTTTAAACAGAGAAATCAGCTACGTAGCTGCATTTCTGTGCATATACAGATGCTGCCACATGTTTTGGTGCAAGCCCTACAGTTGACAGAGCATGCATGAATGCAGCAATCATTTACGTTGCAAATTTTAGATAAAGATCTTGATGAAAATGAGCTCACCCTGCTTTGCAGCCTCACTTCATTTCAAGGAAACCATGCATTGATTTCCTTTGAGGCATGAATATGTTATAAAAAATAGTGTGAATACTCCCAACAGCACTCTCTAAAGCCACCTCACACAAAGTGTGATTACCGAGTGTACACAGTAAAATGCATCTATGTTAGTGTGAAAGACAGTAAAGGTCAGCTGATCAGGAATAGTTGAGTATTCCCATGAATTTAACCCAACATCAATTATTCTTTTAAGGAAATCCTTTGTTTGATGATTAATTAGTTATATTTTTATTTCCTTTGACAACAGATCCACTTTCAGACTTTTTGTTTTTCATGTGATGTCCTTCACAGGCCCACAGCTGTCTAATACATAAATGGATATGTATAAATTAATAAACTCCTGTTTGTAACTTGTGTGCTCCTCAGCGACGGCTCGTCCCGCTCGGGGGTTTTCTGCGCACTGTGGAACGTGCTGGACAACGCTGAGAGCGAGAAGCTGGTGGATGTTTTCCAAGTGGTCAAAACTCTGCGCAAAGAGAGACAGCACATGGTCTCCAGCCTGGTGAGAAAGAGGAACACAATCGTTCACACTCTGCTTATAACCAGAGATCAGCGTTGCACATCACCAGTTCCCTGTTCTAGCTCACTATGAAATGCATATTTTATATTACTGTTTTAAAAACAAAAGTAAGCTCAAGCATAAAGATCATTTCTGCCTTTTATTTGATACCAAATCTATGAAAAAGCCACGCCCATTTGTTTTCTCCCTGCTGCTGATGTAAACTTGAGTCATTGTTGCATTTTGCCTGTTTTCAGCAGTGTGTTCAGGCTTATGTGAACTTTTACAGCAGCTGGAAACTGTAATGACTAGTTTGTGGCGACAGTAGAAGTCTGATATGAAGCACTGTGATATCCGTGCTTGTCCACACAGAGTTTAGTAGTATCGGTTCAGTGTTTGTGTTGTGTTCGTGGGATTCTTCCTGCTGGTTATTTAGGGAAGTGTGTAAGACAGCAAAGAAAGCAAGATTCACTCTAACAAGAAACACACCGAAACAATATTTGTTTCCTGTGTTTCTAACAGGAGCAATACCAGTTTATATATGACGCCGTGGAGGCCGTGTTCCCCGTTCAAAACGGGGAAGTGAAACCGGTGCAGGCCTCTGCAGCCGACTCGGTGCAGATCGTCAACGAGACGAAAGCGGCCGAGCAGAAAGACGAAGGCAAGGCTGAGGAGCCAGCCAGCACTACCAGCAACGAGCAGCAGGCGGCAGCAGAGAGCACTCCTCTGGTGCCTGACAAAGAAGAGAAGAAAGAGGAGGCGGAGAAAGAGGCCCCACCCACGGAGACCACGCCGCTGGACGACACCAGCAACGGTCCCACTGTCACGGTGGAGGTGTGAGGGTGCCGGCCGTGACTGTGTCCACTGATGGAAATAAGCGCTTCAGTTTTATGCTTTTTTAAATTACCTTATGAATGTATAAACGTTGTAAAACTTTTAGATTTGTGGAAGAATTTGACCAAATATCTCACGTCAGTTTCCAAAGTGTTTGATTTAAATTAAGTTATAAATGTTTCTGAATGCAAATGTAATTTCTCTCTTTTCACAAAGTTTACCAGCACAGCTGTCATCAAACTGGACCCTTTACTGGATATTTAAAGGGGTCTAACAACTAAATCTGAAATATGCAGCAGACGAGTTGTTTTGTCCTCTACGCTGTTATTTAGTTCATCTTCTGTTTCCTCATTTATACATAGTAACAAGCATTTTTTTGAACATTTAGTTAAAGTCAGTGTTTTATGGCACACTGCGTTTTTTATTACAGTTGTATTTATGCGTTGTATTTGCTCACTGTCATCGGCTTTGTTAAGCATATCTTTAAAAGATAAGTATGTTCCTCACTCAGCTTCTTACTACAGGAACACTGAAAGGTTTGAAGGATCTGTTGTATATTTCTCCCACTAATGAAGTTGGAGCAACATTTGAATCAACATTTTTTGGTTGTGCTGAGTTTCTTTGAGTCACACCAGTAACGTACTCGTGGAGCAGACTGGGTCAACAGTTTTCTTTTTCGTTTGCAATAAATTTACCTGATGACATTTTACTCTGGATCTTTCCTTGAATAGAAAAATGTGAAAACGAGCTCAAATCTTCAGGAGGTTAAAATCATACACGTGTCTTTGTTCTTCATATTAGTTTCAGGGCTGAGCGGCCGATCAGGCAGAGAGAACGCACTAATAACACGTCTCAGCTCGTCTCAGGGCGGCTCTGAGCCAGAAACCAAAACCTCGAGCTTCATCAAAAGTCGTTGCTAAGTGTGTGATTGTTTCAAAAGATGGGAAAACAAAATAGAAAACTGACAGTGCAAAGAATAGACTCAGTCATATAATGAAATCTCTTTAAAACGCATAAATAGAAATATCTCATTTCAATAAATAGGATGTTATTCATTCACACCAGTGTGTGAGTGTGTACAGCGCTAATACAGGCCATTTACCATTTATTCATTCTGCCTTAAAAATGTAGAAACTTTGCTCACTGTTGACATTTATAGTTTGCTTACATTTATTTAATGTGTGAGAACCGCTGGGCTTGTTTTTATTGGCTGTCTTGCATAACCTGTGCTTTGGATCTTCCTTTGCTTAAATGGACGATTCTGATTTAAGTGAATAATATGAACTATGAATATTCTGTTTCCTCTCTGCTTAAAATTCTCTTAAGTCCTTCTTTCAGTCTCACCTTAGAAGCAGTTTTTATGTCTTTACTTTTGTTTTATCGAGATTTAGTCTCAACTTTGACGGGACCATGTGAGAAATATCAAAATTTTACAGTTTCGATTATTGTTTGTACCTTTGGAAGCTTTGTGAATACTCGCACAGATGTCAGCACTTTAATCCTCCAGCACGTGTGGGGGGCACGTTGTGACTCCCAGTGCTAATTCGCTGTGGTTGGACAGCTTCTGTTTGTTTGTGTGCAACAATATAACTGTAAAGAAGGTTGTTTCTGATTTTAAGAAAATTAAAATGGCAGCTGCTCCAAATGTAGAAAAAACAGAAGATTTTATTTTTTTTGAAAATTCACATTTACTGTGATCATGTAAATAATTTATCATGTTTTTCTTTGACAAAGGCCAACAGTTACAAAATTTAAGACACACAAGACACAAAGCAGACAGTTTCCTTCTATTTGAATCAAAAGCAACATTTCTTGCTTTGAATCTCAGAAACATTCATCCTAACCTGAAGTCAAAAGTATAAAAAGTCTGTCCTACGAATTTAAAAAATCAAATATGTTTGAAAAGAAAGAAAAGGGTGAGATCTGTGCCCTGTACAGCTGACTGAGGCCCTGTGAGGGTTTGTGAACACAGCAAATGCCGGAATTGAAATCCACTAACGAACTAAACCTTTACAGTCACAGAGGATTTAACAGCTTCGTAGTGTTGATTGTTTACGCTGTGGAGTCACAGACGTCCACGTTAAACTACGAAGGACTCAAACGTTACAGTCGGTGCACTGGACAGTAACACGTTTCCAAGCTAAACTCTTTTGTGTGCATTCAGCAGACACCATAACACAACACAGTGTAATAAAGGACATGTAGAAGCTGTTTGTCAGTGACTCTCAGTCAGTTTTAGTGAGGAATGAAATCTCAGAGGTGCTACAGCACCGACACGTAGCAGCACTACACAATCAATAATGTCTGCAAATACTTTGTGGTGTTCAGCTTGGACATGTTCTCTGTTGCAGTGCTCGACATGCTTCGTTTCCTGCTGCAGTTACACCTCGCTGCAGACATGCGATCGTGCTGTTCCTGTAAATGTAGGACTCAGTGATGACCTGCAGTTATTGCTAAGTTTAGCCGTGCACACTCGATTGAACATCATTTTCTTGATGTCTCAGAAGCAGCAAACTTACTTTCACTTCTTTCTGGTCCCCCCCCCCCAACCCCCATTAATGCATTTCTATTAAATACCAGAAGCAGCTGCTTTCATAGCTACACTGAGCTTCATGCATCAGTGAGAAGAAGAGAAGAGAGAAGAAAAAGGCCAATGGACGGAGGTTTTGTTTTTCATCAAAAAACATCTTCTCAATTAGTTATTTTGCGTATGGCATTGTGTTATTTTCACATGCTTACCTTTACAACAGGTAAGGTTTGCAATACTTATGAGGAATAAAAACAATGACTGACTATCCAGCTACACTTCATAAGGTTGAGTCTCAGCTGTTAATTACAGCTTGTGCTCAACCAGGAGCCACATGTTCTTGTCCCAGTTTATCATCTTTCCCACTTGGCAGCTGTTTTCATCGTTGCCTTCGTGGCTGTTTCCATTTGTGCTTCCCCGATCCAGGTACCGTCACTGTAACGCATCAGTTCAAGGCACAAACGCGTCCTCGCTGCTGTGTGTTACGTGGTTGGAGTTTATTTGGAATCAGTGACCTCTGCAGAGTGTCCCGCCTCCAGCAGGACCAGTTAACTGGCTCACCATCAGGTTTAACAGCTTGCACCAGATGCACTGGGATGCTTGTGATGCACTGACTGGCCGACCACGATTCACCGTAACAACCAGTGTTTCAGCTCTGATGTGAACCTGCTGCCGCTTCATTGGGCTGGTTTAGCAGTCGCAGGCCGGGCCTTGCTGGGCTCAGCTATCACCTGAGTGTTATCAGTTCGAGCTTTAGCGGTCTCTGGACGGGTTTTGGACTCTTTCTTTGGTGCTGGGAGGGTCAGCGGTTCCCAGAGGAAGAACTCGTGCAGGAGCGTATTAACAGGATCCGGACACTCCATCATGACCATGTGACTGCCGTCCTCCAAGACCTTCAGGAACGCCATTAGAAGTATCTGATAAGAATAAGGATAAGAATAAAGGTTAGACTCATCACCAGCTCAACACTTTCTGAATGATATTGTCAAATATTTCTGCAAATAACAAACTACAGTTCAAATGAATGAATCAGAGTCAAAGTGTGAATCCAAACAAAACCTTTTGGTCCTTTTTAGTGGGCGGAAAACAAGCACATTATGTGTGTAAGTTGACAGAAGGACACGGTTTGGCATTTAAATGAATTTCTGTGTCTCTTCTCATGAATCAGCCACTAAAGTTCAGCCGCTGCATCATCGTTTTAGCTGCTGTTTACCTGAGAATTTGTTAAAGCAGCTGATTTTTTTAAACATTCACTGGATGCTGTAAACTGACCTGATTTCATATTTCAGTTTGTTACGGTGAATTTGTTTGCAAACTGCTGCCCGTTTAGCAGTTTTCTGGCCACCTGAGAATTATATTTCTACTTTTGCTTCGATTACCGACCCCTGAGGGAACGATCTGTTTCCTAAGCTAATTTCATCGCTGCGTGCAGAGCAGCTATTTTCATCAGAGAGAAGAACCAGGCTGAAAGATTATCCAATGTTCACCGGAGAGTTCAACTTGAAACACAAAGCAAGGTGATGATTCTTATCTTATATTACATAGCTTTGAAATTATGACGCTCTCCCACGTCTTTGTCCCGTCTTCCTCCAATCACCCCAGCTGGTTGCAGCAGATGGCCCCGCCCCTCCCTGAGCTGGTTCTGAGGTTTCTTCCTGTTAAAAAGGAGTTTTTCCTTCCTACTGTCACCATAGCACTTGCTCATTGGGGATCTTCTGATTATTGTGGTTTTCGCTACCTTACAATATAAAGCACATTGAGGCAGCTGTTTTTGTGCTTTGTTGCTGTATAAATAAAGCTGAATGTCTGTTTTAATGAAGATTTTTAACTGGATTTTCTTCTTTCCAAACTGGGACACATTTCTTATCCTTTTCACCACAGAATGATGTTTTCAGTCCACAATCTGTTATTTATAATAATAATAGCTTCATTAGGAAGTGTGAGACCCCCCACTTACTTCTGCCATTCGTTGGTCCTCTTCAACAGGGACAAATTTGTCATGCATGCCATGCACCAGCAGGACAGGCACTGTCAGCTCAGCGTGGTAGACCTCGTCCCCCTCAGGCCAGTACTGCCCGCTCATCATGGCACGCAACACAAAAGACGACACATTGAAGGCATTGTTCTCTTTCAGCAACTGCTTCTCCCTGGCGCCCTGCCGAGCGAAGCCCGCCCTGCAGAGTAGACGACATTTATACCAAAGAAAAAATGATTATTTTAAACATTAATTTAACAGCAGATTAAACATAAGAAGAATTATCCTAGATACATGATATTACACATACAATAAACATGATTTGCTACTACAGACAGTTTTACTGTCTGCACGACTTTTATTTCTTTGTCAAGCTCTCTTACTCACACTCTTTCTGCAAAATGTGTAAATACGATTGGTCTTAAATAAATATTGGCACTATGATGTAATATTGAAAAAGCAATGTATAACACTGCAAAATACCCAACTGTGTGCACATTTCATCTGACTGGACTCATTGCGTTTATGTTTAGGAGGCTACAAACCTGAACTTCAACTGTTTAGAGAAACAGAAAACAAACTGAGTCGTGCCTCCTTCCTTGGAGGATCTTTCAGTTTCGCTGTCTTACTTGAGAAAGCACCAGGCGAGCAGCGGGGAGAGGCAGTGAAGCACACAGGTGGGCAGGTTGAAGATGGAGCAGAGGCTGGGCTCCAGAGCTGTGGGACCGCCGCCGTTGATCATCACCATCTTGTGAATTTGTTCTGGATATTCATGAGCCAGGAAGGTGCAGAACGACACACTAGACAAAAAGAACAACAGGCCGGTTACAGGACAGACTGAAAAAACCAGGTAATCATGCTGTGGTAGTCATCTTTGAAATCTACTGTTCAGAATTGGCCTTTTTTATGTGTGAGTCCAAATATTGTGCCTCACTTTTTCACTTGCTCACATTTTCACAAGTCAGCACGTCTTTAAAGTCTGGATTAAATATAGTGTGTAAGAAACTGAGCAATAATTATCACAGTTAACAGCAATAACACCGATTTTAATGGCTATACAGGAAGTAAAAGGAAGTTAGCGTAGCATAAGACCCAGCTAAATAACAGACAGAATAAAATTGAGCATTATTTATATTCACTACACTCGAAAAAGTATTTATGCACAAAATGCCGACTTCAAGTCATTTGTTTGCAGGAAATTACAGGAATTTGATTATGTGTAAACTTTCCATGTAATTTTTGTTACATACAATGCAAAACACACTTATTAGAATCTGGTCAAAAGAAGTTCACTGGATGGGCATAGATTCAGTTTACAGGTTTATTCAGGAGGCAGAGCATACATACTAACTGAAGGCTGGCGGTTTGTGGGTGGTGCCAAATATCCTTGGGAAAGATTCTAAACCCAAGTTAGTCCCCAACCCCAACCAATCACAGCAGATGGCCCCGCCCCTCCCTGAGCCTGGTTCTGC